TAGCTAGAACTATTAGGGACAGAAGCTGGGGGACATTCTCCAACATAGAAAGATCTCAAAGGAGATGCCTCTGGGGCTAGAAACTATATTAAAAAACCACAGTGGACTGCCAGAGTATTTTCTAGGCTTGAGTCTGAAACTTGATTAGGTAAAAATATCACTCAGGTATTTGATTAAAATAAGTTCTCAGGTCCCAGCCTGTGTTAGTTTGATGAGGTTGCCATAACATAATGCCACACACTAGGTGATTCAAACAGCAGAAATCTATTTTCCCACAGTCCCAGAAGCAACAAATCTAAGATTGAGGTGGCCACTGATTAGGGTTCTCTTGATGCCTCTCCCTGTGGATTACAGATCATCATCTTCTTACAGCTGTGTCCTCACATAGTCTTTCTTCTGTCCACGTGCATTCCAGGCCTCTGTCCCTATTCTTATATTTTTACCTTGGATTCTGCATTTTTCAAAGGGGAAGCAAGATGAGGAAAGCTACAGAAACCCAGGGTGCCTTGGGCATTGTGCTGGGGTCTGTGCTATCCCATTCAATCCTTACAACAGTTCTAGCAGTAGGTATCAATGAAAAGTGAGACGCTCCCTTGAGCTAGGAACTGGTGCATCTGGCATTGAACATGAGCCCATAGAGGTTCCCTTTCCAAGTGTGCCCCTTCAGTTTTGTGGGTTCTTAAACCCTAAAGATCTTTCAAATGTGTGTTTATGCATTGAGCACAATGAACATGGTTATTGTATAGTCTGTATGGCATTCTAATAACTGAGATCTTTGTGAGTTTCTGTTTTCCCTTAATTTTCCTTTCTTGGTCACTTTTCTACATTTGCCTGGTTATATTTATTTGATTCTGTACTATGATTACATTTTAAAATATTCATAATAATAATTGAAAGTTTGGAATATAGATACTTCCATTCAAAACAAATTTGGATGTACATATAGGGGGTACTACCGGTCTGAGTGCTACTCTGTCCAGGAATCAGAGTAGATGTTTGCTGAACAGTCAGGTGACTTGATATGTCCCAATGTCTAGCTTCCCTCTGGACCACTGTCACCTACCCTGAGAGTTCATTCCTTCAGGGTTTTAGATTTCTGTATACGGAATTTCATTCTAGAATTCCTACTCGGTGTGCTTCTGGGTTTGAACACTTATCCTCACCTCATCTCACAAAAACAAAACAAAAATAGTTCAGATTTCTGAAGACTGGAAAATTCTATCAGGAAAAAGTAGCTGCTATGTCTATCCATCTCATATTTCACTTTGAAACTTGCCCTGACGATGCCTGCCAAACTGTTAGCTTTTCACTGGTTTGAAGATTTACTTAAAATACTTTATCTGGTGTGTTTTATTCATTTTCTTTAGAAAGACTTGCTCAAATAACTTAGATTGCCATTACCTGAACTCGGAAGTCTGGAAGTCTGATTTTTCTTTCTGCACGTTCCTGGGGCTTTATTGCTCTCATTTTTCTGTGGTGAGGCTCCCTTTTGGGCCATGCTGAGCCTTTCGTCTCACTCTGGTCACGGAGGTTTGAGTCTGTGGATCAGTGGTTTGTCTGATGACTACATAGTCTTGGCACATTCATAGATATCCCACAACAATCCTAAAAAAATCCTGCAGACTATCTCTGTTGATAAATTGTGAGAAATAAACCCCATTGACCCCGAGTTCCCAATTTCTAGGCATTTGTAATTTGATAAACACAGGCATAATTATGGTATTTCATAAGCCAGTAACTTGAGAATATTCCTCCGAGAACCATGAATAATGAATTTCTAAAGTAAGTGTGTGTGTTTGAGTGGGTATGCATGTGTGCAGTAAAGAATTTGACTTTCCCCTAAGAGTGATTTGGCTCTTGCTCTCAGTTTCTAGGAGGTAATCCATGCCCTTCTTAACAAGAATGTGTTTAGGATGGGGATAGTCACACCCAAAAGATCAACCATGTGATTTGAGTCTTGGGTCACCAGCTCACCAGGAAACCAAGTTCATCCACATACCAATCAATCAATCAATCAAGTCTATGTAATGATGTCTCCAGTAAAAGCTCTGGACAATGAAGCTCTAGTGTCCTTCCCTTGTTTGCAGTGCTTTATTTGAATTGTCTCATGTCAGCACCAGGAGATAATGTGTCCTGACTCCTAGGGAGAGGATAATGAAAGCTTTGTTTAGAATCCCTCAGACTCTGCATCAGGAATCTTTTTTTAGCTGATGTTAATCTCTACCTTTTCCTGTAACAGTCATAACCACAGGAATATCAGTTTTCAGTAAGTTCCCTGAGTCCTTCTAGCAAATTGCAAAAAACAGGGTGATTTGGGGAATCGCTTGAACTTGAAGACATTTTCAAATGTGAGAGTGGTCTTATGGTTGACATTGTACCCTTCACCTTTTCAGTTTGGCTGTTTCTGGACAGCGCATGCTTGCGCATGTGTGTGTGTGTTTGTGCACACGTGTGCGCATATATACACACACACACACACATATGCAGTCATATATATGACTGCATAGAATACAACATTAGCATGGGATTCTTATAATTAGAACAGCCTGACTGAGGCAAGACTTAGCCGTTTTTCTCCTTGCATCTTTATATCCAACCTGCTGGCCGTGAGACCCTTTCCACAGCCTCCCCGTTCACATCACACTATGACTTGAAGATAAGTACCATTTTTATCCTAGCGTGCTGTGTTCCCATCCAAAGTTCTGTCGGTCCTTGTTGAGTTTGCTTCCAACTCTGGTTAAAGAAAGAAAGCAAACTCTCAGAAGTGTTTTTCCCTGCCAAGATTTGGGACCTCATAAATCACGGTGACAAGAAACGTGATGATGGTCTCTGTACATTCCAGAGGAGATGGGAGGAGGAGAAGCGTGCAGGGTCCAGGGTGGTTTTGTCATTTTTCCCAGCGGTGGGGTGGTGAGGATTCCAGCAGGCGAGTTTCTCAGCCCTAACTAGGTAATTCTCTACTTGAATGTTCCTGCAGCGAAAGCGCAGAGACATCTACCAGTGTCACTCGGGCGGTTTAGAGCTTGCTGTTGAACTCCTGGCAGTTAACAATGAAATTGTCAAGATTTCCTTTTTGTTCCCTTCCAAGCAGGCAGGGCCTCGTTTTTATCCCCTGGTTTCGCACATGAATCACTCCTTTCATGCGTGATCAGTGGGACTGTGTGTTTCCAGGAACTGCCTGGCTATATACCTGGCGGGCTTTCTTGTTGGGTAGTAGTTCTGCAAATGAGAAAGAAAATATGCAGATTCTCAAGTATCCCCAGGATGAATTACAAAGCAAAGTAGATTATTGTTTCCTAGCCTGGTATTTGGCTCTGGCTGTTTGGTACTTAGAAAGATGCCATTCGGTCCTCAAATTAGGTCTCTAAAAATACATTATATGGAAATGATATTTTCCAGAATATGGACAGAGACCACTTTATTTAAAAAGAGACAATCCAACTGAGCTTAATTGCCCTCTTAGGGCATTTGTAAGTTCTTCTCTAAGCAGAGCACCATGCATGCCTCAAGGCACAAATGTGGAGGGGTTCTGTCAATCAACCCATCAGGGACCTTTTGTCTATAGAAATATCCTCAGTCAAAAAAAAAATAAAAATCCCAAGATTTGGAAACCAATGCATGTGTACAAGAATATGGGCATAATGTTTTTAGGAAACCTGAAAATACAGATTGTTACCAAAGGAAAAATTAAAGAATGGATCTTGCTTTGTTGAAAGTTTAGCGAGATGAGTCATTTTGGTTGAAATTAGTTCCCCGTACAATTAAAAACCTGATTTATTATGTGAATGTTCATTTTTCACTCAGCTTATTTAGGAATATGGCCATCTTGTGAAACCAACCTGCCTTTTCATTTAATTTCCGTGCTGAGAAATGAATATTAGTGTGTTGCATAAATTGGGTTTACTTATTCTGGCTTTAAAAAAGAAAATGTTCCATACAAAGACTCACACAACCTGAGAGTTTTGCTAAACTTAAAATACTAATAAAAAAGTGAGCTAAATTTATTGAGTAAAACAATGGAAAGCATTGTAAAATTATTTAGAGAATTCTCCACCCTGATGTGAAATGCGTGGATATGCTTAGAACATTCACAAATGACATTATGTGGAACATCATGTTTATGAAAATATGCAGTTTGGGAGGAGATTATTTATTTTGTTATTAAAGGACTTAAACATGACTCTACATGATGTAGAATGAATGTTCATCTCCCCAAGATTCATGTTGATATCCTACCCCCCACACACACAGTGAGATGGCATTAAGAGGTGGGGCCTTTGGAGGTGATTAGGTCGTGAGGACAGAATCTTCATAAATGAGATAAGAAGAGCCATGAAAGAACCCCTTCCCACTCCTGCCACATGAGGACACAGCAAGAAAGCAGTTATCCATAATCTAAGATACGATTACTCAAAAGACCGCATCTGCTACCATCTTGATTTTGGACTTGCCAGCCTTCTGAATTGTGATACATAATTTGTTGTTTATAAGTCATCCAGTCTATGGTATTGTGTTACAGTAGCCCCACTGGACTGAGACAGGAGCCACAGCAGTTTAGTACTTAGTCAAGGACATAGGCATGGCTAGAGTCATGTGCTGAACCTTTTCATTTTGGAGGTTCTATTTCCAAACTTTTAAGACATATCTTGGTCATGAGGATAAAAGGTGAGCTCTGCAACTCCTTCAGGCATGCTGCTGCTACCTGTTCCAACTCACCAATGGATTTACTGAGCTATTGAAGGCTGTACTGAGACTCTGGGCAGTGTTTTTATTGAATACTCTCCTAGACTAGGGAAGGATGTGTGTGTGTGTGTGTGTGTGTGTGTGTGTGTGTGTGTGTGTGTGTGTAAGAAGAGAAGAAAGCAGGGTTTCCTATTCCTATGGCCACTTAGATCTCTGTAAGGGCAGGAGAAAGAGAACCAGAGTACTCATTAGTAATTTTGCCTGTGTTCTCAAACCTCATCCAGAAATGGTAAGTTTTTCTTTTTTAAAAATTTCAGCTATCCATGTTGATAAAGTCAATCTTCAAGTGTATTGTGCCTGGTCCCTTCTGGATAACTTTGAGTGGTGTGATGGATACAGCCTACGGTTTGGTCTTTATCATGTTGATTTTGAAGACCCAGCTAGACCTCGGGTCCCTTATACATCAGCCAAGGAGTATGCCAAGGTCATCCGAAGCAATGGCCTGGAGGGGGCTTTGTAGAACTGGTGGCTGGGCAGTAACCCCTGGAGAGGACACCTCTGCTTCTGGAAAGGAAATCTGCTTCAGTGATGATCTCTCAGATGACCTCAGGTTGCCTCTGTACCTGCTGATCTGTTATTATGAAATCTGAATTTGTAATGCCTGGGAATATATTTAATGATGGCCTCTATTTGTATTTTGATTAATGAGGGCTTTAAAAAAATAAAATAGAAAACCACTGAAATTGATTTTTATATTAAAAAATCAGATATATTTGGAAAGCTCAATTTAAAACCTTAGAATTTTTTTTTCTAGGAAAAAATAATGCAAAGTTTATAGAGATAATATTCTGATGATTTGCAATTGTAATGACACACCACTTATCACAAGGATACTTTTTACCAGCTTAACATATCCTGGTTACATAGCTACTTGTCCTTAGTCTATCCATTTTGTGTGATCATCACCATTTTGTCACTATTTAACCTAGAATAAAGAAATCAAAGCTAAAAGTAACATTATACTGTCATACATTCTTTTGTCACAAAGGAATTAATTGAGAATCTATTTAATAAAATGCATTGTTGATATGTGTGGCACACGGTTTGCCTATGCTTGGACAAATACATTTTTCTGTTGCCTAAGAACTTTTGGAAAACAATAAAATAATAAAATGATTTAGACATCGAAAAGTCTCTTGAGTGTTGATTTTCAGCAAAAGGCAGATTCAATGGCAGATGGCAGCAAATTCAAAGCAAGGTAATGAGCAGAGCAGAGTCTCTACCTCTGAAGGTTAGATTTTAGACCCGTGTGAAATAAGCATATGAATCAAACGAGCAGAAGATGGAAGAGAAGGCGGAGCGGGGGCTTCTTACATTCATAGTCAGAATGTTCGAGATGCACACGGGACTGGTAGAAGTTGGAAACTGGACTGAGTTTCCTCAGGAGGGGTCAGTAGTGGATGTGGGGAGCACTCTGGACTCCATTTCTCCTCTCCAGCACCTTTCACATATGGGGATTTTGGTCCCTTGTGTCTATATTTCAGTAGCATTGGCCAAACACCTGTGTTAATCAGGCTTGAAGTAACCAAGTGTCATCATCCCATTTTGCAGACTGGATCTTCGACAGTGTGGATGTGCATTTTTCTCAAGTAGCATCCGTGCTGGTTAACCAGCCCTGGAAATTTCTTGACACCAGCCCTTGCCCAGCACACCACAGGGCTGGGATCTGTGGAAGGCTTCTATGAACTTTTTGGAGACAGGAAAAGAAACAGAAACAAAACAAAATAAAACAAAAACAAGCAAGTGTGGAGTTGGTGATCCAGATAGAGGTGGGGAGCCAGTTCTGTGCTCTGGCTCAACTCCTTGGAGGAAACTACCCAGGCCTCTTGCATCCTTGCAGCCCCATCCCAGCCCCCGCTCTGCCAGCCGATGCTATGTCATTTTTTTTTCTTTTATAAACTGTGGTCAATTTCTGGATCGTTTTCATGTTCATTATCAAGGAATTATTTACAGCAAAGTGCACACTTTCAGCAACTTTGGACAGAGTAAGAAAGAAATGGTCATGGTAGTTCAATAAACGTGGTTGCACTGGGGAAAATTATATTAAGATTAAAATGGTATACACGGGAAATTCTATTACATCTTTGCCACTGGTTTGTTATTTTTATTGTTCAATGAGACATTATCTCACAATTTGTGTTCATTTAAGAAGCACATTTCCAAACCTTATTTCATTCCTCTCCTATCCAGCCTGTCTTTTTCATTTTTACCATGCATCTTGCTTACAATTTATGTGCCCTCTTATATTGCAAGACAACTGAGTTTTCTTTTTAATTAGGATGTTGCTTTGAGTATTACTTATCCTACAGGGCATATTTATAAGTTTTACAACAATACAAATGAATACTATTTTCCTTACCCAAACCTGAAAATTAATATTCGCATCGTAAATAAAACAATCTGTCACATTTGGTCTATCACGTGAAATGAGCATTCTCACCACTGAAGACCCAAGCTTCCTAACAGCACTGTGGCCTTCTGCAGCCCTCTGACGGGTTTTAAAGGTGAGCTCTTCCACCGTGAGATGGATCCCATGAAAGGAGTTTCTGTAATTAGTCCATGAATTTGTATTGCCAGGAGGAACAGAAAAGAAAGGGAAACCCCCATCAACCAAAAGTCTAACAGCCCCTGCAGTATTTCAATTAATGTTATTTTTAATTGCTTATATTAGCATTTGAGAACAAGATTGATGGCTTTTGTCTGTCAATGAAACAGAACTTCAATTCTTTAAATGGAAAAACAGGAATTGTTAATTATATTTAAAAATCCATAGATACATCCATAGATGTCTTGAAGGTCATCTGAGGCTTCTAAAACACACGTTTTATGTCTGTTTTATCTAAGGGGAAACTTGGATATCACAGTGATGGATGAGATCTACTGATACTTCTCTATTTCTCGTTTTTTTGTTGTTCTTGTTTTTGTCAGTATGAGCATATCTTATTTACATCCTGGGAATTATTTTTAAGAATCGTTTTATTTTTCAGGTAGTTTTTATTTTAGAACAAGTCATTTCTGAATTGCTATAAACACACAATATAGAAGTAGGCCTTTTTACATTTTTGGTGTGTAGCCTTGAGTTTTCTCACTCCTGGGAATGCTGGGAGGAATTGTCACCTAAGTCCTTCACTGAACAAAGAGGCACAAGTTCTCTTAAAGAAACTCAGAAACTAAGAAACTGGCAACCTTGCTACTTCACAGTGGAGTATCAGCCAAGTATTTGTGTCCTAGGAATTTGTATTTGGCCTATAGCTTTTAATTATTTTTATAAACTAGGAAATAATAAATACTTTTCTAATATATTGAAAAAAAATCCCCAATACTGACTGACCAAAAAAGTAGATTTTTAGCTGATAATCTTTATTTTTTTAAAATGTTTTTGTTTTGTTTTTTTAAAGAGAGAGAGAGAGAATTTTTTAATATTTATTTTTTAGCTTTCGGCAGACACAACATCTTTGTTTGTATGTGGTGCTGAGGATCGAACCAGGGCCACACGCATGCCAGGCGAGCGCACTACCACTTGAGCCACATCCCCAGCCCCAGCTAATAATCTTTAAACAACAATTCTATTACTCAATACTAGGCAGAAAGAAAATACTGAATCTTATTACCAAGCCAGCAGAATACAAATCAAAGCTGATGGGATTAATACTGTTTAATTACTAGCAATGCGCCTCACATATAGAACACCTATTCATCATGCATCACAACATTGTAGTACCCAGTTGTCCCAGGAGGGATATGTGCAGAGCCAACAGCATCACGAGTTTTAAGGAATGATATTAGCGGAGATTTTGATGGAGGGGCATTTTATAGTGGTCTTTAGAAATATGGTACTGGGCAGTCAAAGGGAGAATAAACCTTATACCCTAACATAGTAGGTGAGCTTAGGGGATGTGGTCCAAGTGCCAGGGGAGGTGTGGGAAGAGCAGTTTTCTACTGTGAGAGGCGAGGAGTGCTGCTCAAGCCAAGAGATGGACAGGCTAGAGGTCCCCGACCAGAGACTGGCTCCTGCCATCTTGAGTGCATAGGGGTTGATATCTGGTATTAGACAAACACAGCGTCACCATCAAGACTGTCATCTCTGGGGCCAGTTCACCTAGATTAACATCCTGACTTGGACATTTATTAGCTAAGTGATGTTAAGAAACTTAAGGAATTTCCATGAGCCTCAGTTTTCCCATCTGTGAAATGAGGGTAAGGCTCTTGTGAGAGATAATCAGCTGATACACATACAGTGTTTAGGGAGGTTCCTAGAACGTGGTGAGGGCACGGATAGCATGAGCCATGATGTTCAACTCTCAGACATGTCCCCATTGAGCTCCCAGAAACTCGTTAGTTACAGCTTAGGTTTCCACTTGGGTCTGGCTCCCCGAGGGGTGTCTGTGACCTTCTGCTCTGGTAAGATGCGATTCACTCTTTTGCTCCTGTGTGCAATATCAGTGGCAGTGATTCTCCTTACATTCTCAGTTCTCTGATGGATCGAAGAAGACATTAACTTTCAGTTTGTTTGGCTTTTTGGTTGCTGGGATGTTAGTGATGGCTTGCATTCTCCTTAGGTACTAGACCGGATACCAGTTATGACATTATTTTCATTATCATTATGATCGAAGGTGACCAGCAGCTGAATCAGTACATGACCATTAAACTCAACCATGTAATACTTGGTAGAGATGCAGTGCTGTGGCTGAGCTAGTTCTCCAGAGAAAATCACGGACTGGTTGGGAACTCAGACATGAAATAATATCAAATCATACCAGGCCAATTCCTCAGAGGGTAACAGCTATACACAGGCAGAGGAGAGCACTCTCTGCTAGCTGGACTGGGCAGGGAGGGCTTCATAAAACCTATGGGAGGATGGGAGGAAGCTCCCAGGCCAGTTCACCCTGGGGAAGAGTGGGCAGGCCTGGACTAGAGTGCGGAGTCCCTGATCCTCTTCTGAGAAGGTTGTGTTTTCTCTTAGTGCAAGAAGGAAGGTTTCTGAGAAGGATAATAAAGGAGCAAAAGCAACATGTGGAGGGATAGCAAAAGAAGTGTGGCATAGGAACAGGATAGAAAGCTTACAGCAGAGTGCACCTGACTTGTTAAGGCTGCATTTGGAATGGGGAGTGCATATATGAAAAGTTAATGTACAATTAGAATTACTGTATCCAAAGGACATGGGAGGGCCGGGGTTGTGGCTCAGTGGTAGGGCGCTTGCCTAGCATGTGTAAGGCACTGGGTTCCATCCCCAGCACCACATAAAAAATAAACAAATAAAATAAAGATATTGTGTCCATCCAAAAAAAAAAGTATTGTTTTTTTTTTTTTTTAAAAAAAAGGACATGGGAATATATACAACATGGGCTTTTGGGTCAGATCTTGGAACAGAAGAAAAGAACATTAGTGGGAAAACTGAGAAATCCAAATATAGCCTATGGTTTGATTAACAGTACTTTACTCTTGTTATCCTCCTAGTTTTGATAAGTCTGCATGGCTATCTGGGTGCAGAACATGCAGAACTCTATGCACAGTCTTCATAACTCTTCTGTAAGTCTAAAACCATCCTCAAAATAAAGTTAAAAAACATCCATGAAATGATATAGTAAGTGTACACAATATTCAAAGATACATTCAAAGATATAGTAGGTGTTGATGTGCGGTGTACTCGACACCTGCAGAGATAACAGCTGGGAAAGAGATGACCACTGTGGATGCCTTGGAATTCCTTTTTCTCTCCCTGGGGTCTGGTGTTATGGCTACTTCTTCTTCTTTGTAATTGCCTGTATATTTCATGCACTTGGGTTGTGTTTTCTTCTATTGTCAAAGAAATATTTTACAAGACAAACTTGAGCATTCAAGATGATCCACGAGGCGTTTGCAGGATGGAGAAGGACAAATCAGCAATGGCTCTGTGAAGGACACACTGGGTGGACCTCAGCCAGCATGCACGTTGCTTCCACTGGGTGCCCATCCTGCCAACAAGGATTGCTAAGTTCTTTTCACCTTCTGAGATATTAAAGATTCACTGGTTTATAATCACTGGTTGACATTTCTTTCACATGTAACGATTTTCTTTGTTGGATCAACATCT